TTTCCAGCCAAACAAAGTACAGGCATGTGAGTTAAACATTTACCTCAAGTAGACACACGCCCTGGAAAGAACAATCATGGGAGAAAGAAGGGCTGCTTACGCACAGGGAGACAGCTCAGGGGGCAGGAGTGTGTGGAGGGATGGACACAGGGAAGAGATAACTGGGGAGGAAGTGGGAGGGAGCTGTTGCATTGTGGTAAACTGTGGTCAATGTCATGAGAGAAAGTGTATGTGAACTGCTGTATGGAAAGTAAATTTGCTCTGTAAACCTTCACCCAAGTCAAAATAAAATAATAATAATAATACAAATATGTGATAATTTTTAAAGTAGTTAAAAAGAATGAGGATAAATCTAGAGCTGCTGCTTCTGAGAATAAAGAAGTATAATTTTTAGGTTATTGCAGATCACTGTTTTCCAACCAATGTGCTGCATTTTACCACTGATTTGGGAAGATCCAAGTGACATGCCCAACTTTCTAGTTGCTCCTTCTAAATCCTTACCCGTGTTATTTATGGAGTATTTCTATCTCTATGTGTCATACCCATTTCGCCACATACCTATGGCCTGTGAAACAGAGTCACACTGGAGGCTTGTTGTGGGGTTGGTCATCTTCTCAACCCACCAAGCAGTCCCAGCCATAATTTGTTCTGAAATAAAAGCATTCCTTATGACCCTACATCAATTTCTGCCGTTGGGCGTGACTTTCCCTTCATTCCCCTCAGTATCTTTGCATTAGGCATTATCATGGATGTGCCACAGTACCTTTGAAATGTCACAAGTGTGCTTCAGAAAAAAAATACAAGCCTGGAAATTCTTCTAAGGGACCTAGTGATCATCAGGACGATTAATGGGAGAGCTCTTGATACAATAAGGACCTGTGCCTCTGTCTTGGGACTCAAAGAGAAAGGAGGGCTGAGGAGCCCACACCCACTGTGAAATAGACTTGGCATGAGGAGGAGGCCTTCAGTGGGTAGAGTGGAGGTGAAAGAGCCAAGAGGGAGGTGCACAGTCTCCATCTTCGGCACCTGTGGCAAAGAAGCAGGGGTCCAGCTCCGGTCACGGCCTGGAGGCTGAAAGTTGAAAGACCGATGCAGATTCCTTGACCCAGTTGTTCCAGGATACACTCACCTAGTGGGTCAGCTTTTCCATCCCTATCTGGAACCGTGAACACTCCCACTACTCGGTGGCCCTCTTTCTGGAGATGGCTGTAGACTTCTTGTCCAAAGAGGCTTTGACCGATAAGTGCCAACTTCAGCTTGTTTTTGAAATAAACCTGCAGAACAATTCAATGGTGACAGACGTTAGCATGGATAGGAGGCACATGGATAATAAGCCTTTTTTTCAGATGACTTGAAGACTACGAAAGGCTCAAAGGTCTGTAAAATAAAATTTTTATTTACCTACACTGGACCCAGGCTACATTATATACAAATGTTGTTGTTGTTGTTGTTATGTGTCGTCAAGTCGGCCTTGACTCACAGCGACCCCTCCTTGGGTTTCTGTGGCAGTATCACTATGGAAGTAGATTGCCCCATCTTCCTTCTGAGGAGTGACTGGTGGGTTTGAACTGCCAGCCTCTGGTTAGCAGTCAAGTGCCTTAGGCACTATGCTACCAGAGCTCCCCAAATATAGTAACTAAAAATAATTTCACACTCAATTATTGCTCATTTTCCCTTTGATAATAATTCCTTTGATTGTTCATTTGAATAATTATCTTTCTTCTGAGGAGTAGTGGCTGGTGGGTTTGAACTGCCAGCCTTCTGGTTAGTAGTCAAATGCCTTGGGTACTATGCCACCGGAGCTCCCAATTATTTACATTTTTCAATACTAAATATGATTACATTTTTATAACTTACTTCAACTCCTTGGTGAAATGAGGCCAGATACAAATAAATAAATAAATGTAATCATCATAGTTAAGAGAAGCTTATCTCCGAGCAAGAGCTACATCAATATGGCAATGCTTTTATGCCCCTGCAACACAGAAGAACTGGACTTATCCGTTATATCTAAAAGAGGGCAAGAGCTAACGTTTAGTATAATATAGGGGTCAAAAGCAGAGGCCCTGGCCCTGACCTGCCTGAGGTCAAAACTTGGTGCTACCACTTACTAGTTGTGTGACCTTAAGCAAGTAACTTAACTGCTGTTTACCTTGTTTTTCTCATCTGTAGAATGGGAATAATGATGGCATCTACCTTATGGGATTTTGAGAGAAGTAAACAAGTTGCTACATAATAGGCTTACAGCAGTGTCTAACACAGAGTCAGTAATGTTTAAGTATTAGCTTTAACTTTTTTTTGTTTTGTTTTGCGATTTGGGTGAAAATTTACAGAGCAAATTCACTTTCCATACAGCAGTTCACATACACTTTGTCTCATGACATTAACCACAATTTACCACAATGCACAGCTCCCCTCCCACTTCCTTCTGACAGTTACCTCTTCCCTGTGTCCTTCCCTCCATGCACTCCTGTCCCTTGAGCTGTCTCCCTGTGCATAAGGAGCCCTTCTTTCTCCCGTGATTGTTCTCTCCAAGGAGCGTATCTTCCTGAGGTAAATGTTCAATTCATATGCCTGTCTTTTGTTTGGTTGGAAGGGACAGGTGTGAGTTCAATTCCAGATCTGAAGGTCAGCTAGGGGCCATAGTCTCAGTGGTTCCACCTGGCTCTATCGGACCAGCAAACCTGGTGCCTCAGATTTAACAATTTTTAAGAACTTCCTATATACTAGACACTGTTCCTATGTTTTTTCATATAGTCCAGAATTCCAAAATTCTTGCTCCAAACCAAAAACTTACTGCTGTTGAGTTGATTCTGACTCACATCTACCCTACAGGACAGAGTAGAACTGCCCCCATAGGGTTTTTAAGGCAGTAAATCTTTACAGAAGCAGACTGTCACATCTTTCTCCCAGTATGTGGCTTGCAGGTTTGAACTGCCAACCTTCTGGTTAGCAGATAAGCACTTTTAACCCTGTTAAGTGGCCCAAATCATTTGGCTTCAAAACCTGGCTTGATCTAAGGAAATGCTATTTATAGTCCTTACAGGTTTCTGTAAGTTTGACACAAACTAATTTGGCTTCAAACCTGACCTGAGCTGACATCATGCTATTCATAGTCTTTATTTACAATACTTTCAAAGACTATATGAATATTCATATGTTTTACTACAGAAAAATCAATGTGTTTGATTACTGGTGCTGTCACAGACCTCACTGGGGATTTTATATAATGTATTATCTATGTACCATTAACTTTCTAAAATGTGAATAGTTCTAAACCCCAAGACACATTTGGCCCAAAGGTTGCAGAGAAGGAATCAAGGCCCAAAAAAACCCGTTGCTGTCAAGTCCACTCTAACTCATAATGACCTTATATAATAGACTAGAACTTCCCATAGGGTTCCCAAGGCTTTAATCTTTATAAAACCAGATTGGCTCCTGCCACTGGTGGGTTTGAACTGCTCACCTTTTGGTTCACAGCTGAGCGCTTTAAAGACTGTGCCACCAGGGCTCCTTCAAGGCCTGCACACCATATCATTTAGTTTAATCTTCACAACTACCCTGTCTGATTAGCCTCCAACCCATACCATTTTACAGGTGAATACACTGAGGCTTAGAAAGGTCAGGTAACACCCTCAAAGTAGCAGTGCTAGAGATGGGGATAGCTGGAATGTGACTTCAGGTCTGTGTGACTCCAAAGGCCATATATACATTTAAAAACTAAAATATTTTAAATTATCTACTACCACCTATCTCTTCATCTTCCTTTAAAAAGATTAACACTGATACCAAAAATAGAATGATTATCAAGAAATATAAACATCATATAGATTCAAAACATCAAATCAGTTGCTATCAGGTTGGTTGTGATGCATGGCAACTTCATAGTGGCACTAAAGGCGTTAACATTTTTTAAGGAATGTCTTTAAGCAATTCAAACTCACTGCTGTCAAGTCGATTTCAACTCATAGCGACCCCTCCTTGGGCTTCTGAAGTGGTATGACTACGGAAGTAGACTGTCCAACTTTCCTTCTGAGGAGTGGTTGATGGATTTGAACTACCAGCCTTCTGGTTAGCAGTCAAATGCCTTAGGCACTATGCCACCAGAGCCGTAAATTCTTCCCAAATAGAGTCTTAACACAATGTTTAAGATAATACGCTGATATAATAATTATTAAACCGAGGATGGAAGGCCATCAGAGGAAGCAGGATACATTCAGGTTTGTGGGTGGGGAGATGGTCATCAAAGGGTCCCAACTCTCTTATGTGCTTTCATGAGGCTGAGTCCACTCAAGGCCAACTGGTTTACTGGCCCCTTCTTGGCAATGGACCAACTCCAGTTCCCCAGAACTCTCTCCACTTTTCACTCCTCCATATTAGATTATGGCTCCACAAAATTTGAAGTTAGAAACTTTTTTTTTTCCCACCTTCAATAAGAATGGGGTTCTCTCATGTTCTGGAAAGTCATTCTAAATTAATAAAGCCTCACTGTGAAAATCTGATTATGAAAACTCAGTTTTTGCTTTTTTCCCCTTTATTACTGGGTATAGATAATATCCCTTTTTAGGCAAGAACTTAAAAGCACACCAGTTGACACTTTCCCTGTAATTAAGCTGATGATTAAACAATTATGCTTTCGATTTTAAAATTCTTTCCCAGGGCCAGTCAAAGGTTATATCCCAAAAGAGCTTAATTAAGCATCAACTTCCAATGAATACTTGCCAGCAAATGGATTATAATAGCAGCATAATTAGCCTATAGATGATGAATGGTTAATAATACCATTTCCATTCATCTACAAACCAAAATGCTCTGTAAATATTCTATTTTAAATTCCATATTTAATGCTGATGCTTGAAACAGAACGCACATGTTGGCTGTCTTATTCATGTTGGCGTTCCCTCACACCATTACCAATGCTAGATATTTTGAGACATCTACAATATTACTTTTAAAACACACAAGAGGGGAGGACTTCCGGTAAGATGGAGGAATAGGCAGACAAGTGACACAGACCCTCTTCAACAAAGAAAAGAAAAACCAATTGACGGAGATACAGAAGATAATCCTGGAGCCCTGAGCTTTGAAAGGAACTATGCAGAAGTGGATTAGGCACCAACTAGTGGAAAAACCTGAAGGAAAACAGTGAGTACAGAGACGGTCGGAGCTGCGGACTGTCAGCTACTCTGATGGGACCAACAGCCTGAATATTTCCAAGTGGTGCTGGGACGTGAGAATTGAGCTGAAGATCAGTTCCAGTCACCAAGGGCTAAAGGGACAACTACTCTGGTGGCCTACGACTAGGAAGGGAAACAGCAAGGAAGGAGACAGCCTGAGCTGTGGACTTTCTGCTGTCCGGAGGGTGTAGCCATTTTGACTGTTTACATGTGGCAGCCATTTTGGATATTTAAAGTGACTGAAGGCACAGCCATTTTGAATGTTTACAAGTGGCAACCATTTTGGATTTTAAAGTGCTAGCATTCTCATTCAGATTCCAGGGACTTAAGAATAGGCTCTGCTCGCCAGGGTCAGCAAGGACATACGAGAGGCTGACAACAGGAAAGGAGACAGGTGGTGAGTGCATAAGTGCTGTCAACTAGTGAATAGAGGAGCACAGCACAGTACCCTGCCTGTATAGATAACATACAAACAAAACA